AGGAAGTGGTGAGTGGTGAGCTTGGCTTTAGGGAAAGCTTTGCTGCTCAAGCACCATTGAGAGCCACACTTCTGTCCCTGGCATCCCAGGCCCCTGGAGCGGAAGTCTGGGTTTCTTGCAGCAGTAGGGTACTTAGCAGAACAGCCTGTCCTGGGGGATTCCAGCTGAGAACTTAGGCCTGTGGCCTAAAGTGAAGGGCTCCTGTCTTTCTGTCTGGATCATATTCATGTTCTTTGTATATGAGAAGTGTGGCTTCTTCGTTAGGAACCCTTTTCCAGTGGGCATTGGGTGGAAATGTGTGTTCTGGTCTGCTGGCCATGGCCGCCTGGTGAGATGGGAAGGTGTGGACACCCTGGAGAGCCAAGATGGGCAGCTGCAGCCTTCAGGCAGGAGGCACCAGTGCCTCTGTCTTCTTCTAGGGCTGAGATCTGGCCCTTCCCCCATTTCTGGCCTGGAGGCCTCCTGAGTCACTGCAAGTCAGAGATCTGTGGTCCACAGAGCCCTAAAACCAGTGCATCTAACCACTGTCTTCTGGTGAAGGGTCTGGGGCTTGGGGACGATTTTACTGCCCAGATGGTTATCACACCAAATGAGACAGGATCCATGACAGGGAAGATGTGGGTTTTGGAACCTGAAGGTTTGGGTGCAAATCCCAGCTCAGCCATTTCTCAGCGTTGTGGGCTGGTGAGCAAGGTCCCGGTCTTGAGGTGGAAGTGGCAGTACCTGTTATGACAAATACACAGGATTATTGCCACGTTCTCCTCACAGGTTGCCCCATTGTGGTCAGTTACTGTGTTGGATGTGGGGAGCACCCATGCTCAATCGGAAGGATCCAGGGAGGACGGCTGTGACTGGTATGGCACGTGGATGAGGATCCTGAGGCAGGGGAAGCTGGTGGGCAGACCTGGGGCGCTAAGCACAGTCTGAGCCAGACCTGGAGGGATAATTGTCACTTTGCTGTTCAGCTGGACCCCCTTCCTTTGTGGCCTTCTGTAGTTGCAGGTGCTGCTGCAGAGCCTTATGGCCTCCTGTATGGAGGCCTGAGAAGAGCCATTGCCTCTGGTAGCCTCATCAGCCAGCTCTTGGGCAGGAATGGGCATCGCTGTGCCCCAGAAGAGTGCTTCCCTGAAGTCAGATGATCTATGAACCCACCAGCAGTGGAAAGACTCCTTTCAGTCCTGGGCCTGTTGATGCCCAGAATAGCACCTTGTCCCTTGAGCTAGGTAGTCCACTATCTCTGGAGAATAGGAAAGGTGGGACCAGAGCCTGGCTCTAGGCATTGGGCCTTCTAAAGCCAGCCCTGGGCAGTTCTCAAGATAGTTTCCTTGTGATGTGGTAGAAAGCTATTGGGAGGGGAGCAGCAGGTCTCTGAGTCCTGTACTCAGTAGTGAGAGCCATTCAGCTTTGGTGTGTTCCCCACTGTGGGTTCTGGGGAAGCTTTGTTTAACCAGAGGGTTCCTGGCTGAAAAGAAATGAAAGCTCAGGGTCCGCAAGGCTTGAGATGGATAATATGATTAGGAGAAACAACTTGTCCTTGAGCCCAGCAGTACAAATGCGGGGCAGAGTTTGGGCTCCACAGCCTGATCAGTTCTTCCTCTCCATCCATGCCCTTTGTCTCCTTTGCCAAGTACTGTCCTTGTCATCCATCTGCTTCACCCCCATACCTCTGCTTACAGCCTGGCCACAACCCGCTGCCCTTGCCCTAACCTCCCCTTCCCCACCACACATCTGTGCACATACTGAAAATGTTTGAGCCCTACCTTCCTTTCTCAGCTACTCAGATCCTCAACCACTCTGCCTTTCTGGAGAGAGCTTCCCTCCCAGCAGAGAACTTCTACCCATGTCACTTGGGAAGGGAGGGGTGAGGGGTGTGTTTAAGCATGTTCACATAGGCATGCTGCTCAGACCCGAAGGAAGCAGCAAAGGCTGGGAAAGCTATTTGAAGGAGCTGCTTTGGGAAATAGACCTGCTTGCCAGACTGTCAGGCTTGCCTACCCTTTGCAGGTCCTGGCTTGCCATGGCCCTGTGGGCTCTACTCCTTTTCCTTAGCCAAGCAGGCAGGCAGGCCCTCTGCAGCTCACACCCTCTGGTCCCATCTGTGCACATGTCTTTACCTTCCCAGAGTCATCTTTTCCACTCTTTTCCCTGTACAAAACTGTGGTATACTTCAGAGGTCTCACTTACTTTTGCTATCACTAGTTATACTCAGCATGTATGGAGGCCCTAGTCAGTGCAGTAAGCCAGGAAAAAGAAATAGAAGACATGCAGAGTAGATGGGAAGAATGTAACTGTCTTTATTCTCAGACAATATATTTAAAAATCCCAAAGAATCTTCATAAAAGCAACCAGAACTAATTGGTGTGTTTAACAAGGTTGCAGGACACCAGGTGAATATATAAAAAGTCAAATATATGTGTGTGTATGTTTAATAGCTTTATCCAAATAATATTTACATGCTATAAAAACCACTCATCTAAAGTATACACATCAGTGGTTTTTAGCATGTTCACAGCTGTGCAACCATCATCTTAATCTAATTTTAGAACATTTTGTCACTCCAAAAGAAACCTTGATCCTATATTCCCATCCCAAAATCAATTATATATTGATATAATAGCAAAAAAACAATTGGGAATTGAAATTTTAAAATAACACTTAGAATAGCATGAAAAGTAGAGTAGAGAAAAATTGGTCAAAACCTGTTGAGAGAAATTAAAGACCTAAATAAGAGGAGAGATATGCCATGTTCAGAAATTGAAATATTCAGTATTATTAAGCTATCTATTCTCTCCAAATTGATCTATAGATTCAACCCAATCCCAATCAAAATCCCAGAAGGCCTTTGAAAAATACTGTTAAGGAGTTCCTGAGTGGCTCAGTGGGTTAAAGCCTCTGCCTTCAGCTCAGGTCATGATCTCAGAGTCCTGGGATCGAGCCCCACATCGGGCTCTCTGCTCAGCAGGGAGCCTGCTTCCTCTCTCTCTGCCTATCTCTCTGCCTACTTGTGATCTCTGTCTGTCAAATAAATAAATAAAATCTTTAAAAAAAAAAAGAAAAGAAAAATACTGTAAAAAAAATGAAAAGACACACCACACCCTGGGAAAAAATATTTGTGAAACACATAAAAGGATTTGTATTCAGACTATATCTAGAATCCTTAAATCTTCCTAAGACACACAGCTCAATTTTAAAAACTGGTTAAAGGGGTGCTTGGGTGGCTCAGTCAGTTAAGTGTCTGCCTCCGGCTCAGATAGTGATCCCGGGGGTCCTGGGATTGAGCTCTTTACCTGGCTCCCTGCTCATCAGGGAGTCTGCTTCTCCTTCTGCCCTTCCCCCATCTCTTTTTTCATAAATAAATAAAATCTTTTTTTTAAAACCTGTTTAAAAAAAAAAACCTGGTTAAAATTTTGCATAGTTCAATAGTTTTTCTAACAGATTGATGATTCAGTATATGAAAAGATGCTCAAAAGATCCTTGGTTGTTGGGGAAATGCACAGTAAAGCTGCAGTGACATTGAAACTACTAATACCTACTAAAATGGCTAAAAGATGGGGCGCCTGGGTGGCTCAGTGGGTTAAAGCCTCTGCCTTCAGCTCAGGTCATGATCTCAGAGTCCTGGGATCGAGCCCCACATCGGGCTCTCTGCTCAGCAGAGAGCTTCCTCCTCTCTCTCTCTGCCTGCCTCTCTGCCTACTTGTAATCTCTGTCTGTCAAATACATAAATAAAATCTTTAAAAATTTTTTTTAAATAAATAAATAAATAAATAAAATGGCTAAAAGAGTAAGAAAAAAAAACCCAACATCTGACCATAACAGGTATTTGTGAGAAAGTGGGCCTTATACATTGCTGTGAGAATGCAAATAGTACAACCACGTAGGAAAACAATTAGGCATTTTGTTATCAAGTTAAACATACACTTATTTTATGAGCCAGCAATACCACCTCTGAGTATTTATTCAAGAGAAATGAAAACATATGTCCACGCAAAGGCCCGTATGTAAGTATTTATTGGCTTTTTTCACAATGGCCAAAGATCGAAACAGCTCAAATGTCATCAACTAATGAATGGATAAACTGTGTCATATCCATATAATGGAGGACTACGTCAGCAATAAAAAGAAACAAAATACTGGTACACCTAAACAGTGTGGGTGAATCTCAAATGTGTTGTGCTAAGTGAAAGAAGTCAGACACAGGACCCTCTGTATTCTGTGATTTCATTTCTGTGACATCCTGGAAAAGGCAAAACTTTAGGAACAAATCGGATCAGTGTTGCCAGTGACTGGGGCGGGTGGAGTGGGGCTGACTGCAAAGAGGCATGAGGGAACTTTTTGGAACAGCGGTAATTTCTATGTCTTGATCATGGTGGTAACACTTGTTAAAACTTGCTGAACTGTCGGGGTGCCTGGGTGGCTCAGTGGGTTAAAGCCTCTGCCTTCGGCTCAGGTCGTGATCTCAGGGTCCTGGGATCAAGCCCCACGTCAGGCTCTCTGCTCAGCAGGGAGCCTGCTTCCCTCTCTCTGTCTGCTTGCCTCTCTGCCTACTTATGATCTGTCAAATAAATAAATAAAATATTTAAAAAACAAACCAACTTGCTGAACTGTCCATTAAAAAGGGAGAATCTTATTACATGTAAATTATACTTCAGTTAAAAAATATGTTTAAAAATCCCTCAAAGGTCAGTTTAAGCCCCTCTCCTTCATAACATTTTCCCTTGTCATACGCATGGCCTTCTGGTAAGTCCCTTCCAGGTCACTCATGGTTTTGGTTCTTGTTAACCACAGCTTGGGCCCCTTGATTGCTTCAGCTCCTCAAGTGCGATCACCTGCTGGACTCCCTGCTCCTTGGGCATAGCCCTACCCTGTCCACAGCCGGCTCTGAGAGGCCAGAAGTACTAACTGAGGTGGTAGCAGGCTGGGGACAGGAGCTCAGACCCAGGTGGTGTGTCTGGCTGACTCAACTATATCCACTCACCTGTTGCTCTTCTCTTCCTCCACAGGTTGGGATAAACATTCCTATGGTTACCATGGCGATGATGGGCACTCATTCTGCTCCTCTGGTACTGGCCAGCCCTACGGTCCCACATTCACCACAGGAGATGTGATTGGCTGCTGTGTCAACCTCATCAACAGCACCTGCTTCTACACCAAGAATGGCCACAGCCTTGGTGGGTGCCTAGGGGACCTTAGAGGCTATACCCCATGGAGCCACTTTGATTGGTGAGCGGCCCACAAGCAGGCTGGAACACCAGAGCAGGGTCACTGATCCTCTGCCGAGCTCTGGGGAGCTCTGGGGAACTGCAGCCGTTTCCAGGCATTGGAGCCCTCTGAAGTGAAGGGAAGGTAGCGGAGGTGCTTCCTTTGTTAATCCATCCATTTAGCAGTATTTGTCAAGCCCAGGGTTGGTGCTGAGAAAAGACCAGGGTCATGGTCATGCCCCTGGCCTGTGTGACACTTGTTGGAGTTGGATTTGGCCTTGGTGAGAAGTATATACCCACCAGTGGTAGTGGTTTGCACGTTCGTGGCCTGGGTCCTGACTTTGGCTGGCCCTTCCAACATGCAGGATGCTAGTTGCTGTGAAGCAACAAGAGGTCTGCTCTCATATGGGAGATAAACAGACGGGCTGGAGTCAGATGGGGCCAGGTCTTTTCTGGCCTTTTCACAGTTAACAGATAGCAACCTGGACAGAGTTCTATTTAAAAGGGTCCTTCGGGGTCACCTGGGTGGCTCAGTTGTTAAGTGTCTGTCTTTATCTCAGGTCATGATCCCAGGGTCCTGGGATCGGGTCCCGCATCGGGCTCCCTGCTCAGCAGGAAGCCTGCTTCTCCCTCTCCCATTCCTCCTGCTGTGTTTCTTTCTGTCAAATAAATAAATAAGATCTTAAAACAAAATAAAATAAAATAAAAGGGTCCTTCAATGTAACTGCAAAGGAGAGACTGACAGGAGTGAGGGAGGGCCTGGGGAAGAGGTAGATAACCTAAGGCAAGGTCATCGCGATTGGTTCAGGCTATGGGGAACAAGCCTGACAAAGGCCAGGATGGCCCAGGAGGGCTTAGTGACAGATGGGGTGCACTAGCAAGAAGAGAGGATGGGAAAGAGGCTGGATAGTGGTGCTGTTAGCCAGGATTAGGAAGCCGGGAGGAGCAGCAGTCAGTGGGGAGTGATGGGGGCCCTAAAGGATCTCTTGGAAGAGCAACCAGGTACATGTGGAGAGATTTAGGATAAGAGCCTGGGAGATAGGGAGACATTGGTTATTGTGGTGTCTTGCCCTACTGGGGCTGACTGGTATTTGGTATTTGACTCTTGAGTAAGAGGAGCCCTTGGCCAAAATGGCCCTGAGGTAGTGCCTAACCACTGGGCCTGCCTGTTTGGATTTGCAGAGGTCTCTGATCTGGCAGAACCCTACCAGCTAGGCTGGCCACAGGCCTTGTAAGAAAAGGGAATTGGGTATTTTACTTAGAACCTAACTTGTAGGGGCGCATGGGTGGCTCAGTTGTTTAGCGTCTGCCTTCGGCTCGGGTCATGATCCCATCGTCCTTGGGATGGAGCCCTGCATCGGGCTCCCTGCTAAGCAGGAAGCCTGCTTCTCCCTCTCCCACTTCCCCTGCTTGTGTTCCCTCTCTCACTGTCTCTCTCTAATAAATAAATAAAATCTTAAAAAAAAAAAAAAAGAAAGAAAGAAAGAACTTAACTTTTAGGAGGCCTACATCCCCTGGCTTGAGGGGCAGTGAGAAGGTGGCAGAGGTGACTTCTGTGTGGGTTCTCCATGAGATGAACCTCAGCTGAATTAGGCTGCATGAGTGGGAATTGGGTTTGCTGGTGGCTGGGACTGAAAGGCCAGGAGTCAGCATTTCTTTTCTTTCTTTTTTTTTTTTAAGATTTTATTTATTTATTTGACAGAAAGCGAGAAATGGAACAGAAGCATGGGGAGTGGGAGAGGGAGAAGCAGGCCCCTTGCTGAGCCTGACATGGGGCTCGATCCCAGGACCCTGGGATCATGACCCTAGCCGAAGGCCGACACCAACGACTGAGCCACCCAGGTGTTCCGGGAGTCAGAATTCCTCAACAGGACAGTCAGATGCCACTGCCCATAGTGGGCAGCCAAGAGTGTAGCATAAACCCCGCAGATGTGACTCAGGCGCACATCCGGAGACATCCTCTGAAATCTGTAGCCACCTGGCTGTAGTTGGTGGCACCCAGCTGGTGAGCTGGCAGCTAAGGACAAGGTCTCAAGATGGCTTCTTATACCCACTTTGCTCTCTGACTCCGGCTGTTTCCTGGCTCTTGTTCTGCTGTTAGAGTCCCAGGAGCTTCAGTTGTAGCCTCTTTACCCATGTCCCTCTTCACCTGTCCCAGTCTCAGTCTTTTCTCTGTGCTCTGGATACCTGCCTTTGTCACATCCCTCCAGGTTGTCCACATTTGCCGGTACAGGGCAATGGGATGAAGTTCGGGGCATACCCTGCTGTCTTCTCTCCACCTTCATCTCTCTCATCTGGGCCCTGTGGACATGCCAAGCCCCCAGGCTCTTTGTCAGTCAGGTACCTAGGTCTGTAAGGAGCTCTCAGACACCTTTATGCCAGCCCAAACCCTCACATTATTTTTAAACTCTTTTTTTTTTTTTTAAACTCTTATCTCCCACTTCCACCTGTTTTATAGACCTCATGCAAGATCTCACTCATTTAGGAGGATATTGCTTATTTTTCCAACCTGTCAGGATCGTCTGTGATCTTGCTTGTTTTTTCTCAAATATTTGATAGCCTTGTCAGCACTGTATTAACAAAAAAAATTTGATAAACATGTTTATGTATGTTTTCATCAAGGTCTTGAAAAAATATTCGAAGAGAACAAGGCTGAGATCTGAGTCCTTCAGGGTATAGCTATTTAAGAATCACTTAATTATGTTCATTTGAAACTCTTGTTTTTCTGTCTTGGCCACAACGATATTACTGAGACCTTACTGAAAAATGTATGTGGCCTGTCCCCTGCATTTTCTAGATCACAGAATTTAATGGAAGGGCAATGAATTTGGATTAATAGACTACTTGGTGAATCTTCTAATGACCTTGTTTCCTTTCCATAAGCCAGCTTATCAGTAATGTGCTTTAGAATCTCACCTGGGATCAGTCACTGCTTTTTAACCTTCAGAACCCGAACCCTTACCTTCTCCCCTTTAGAGAAGTAGAAGGATGTTTTCTCCCTCTGACCTCCCCATTCCTTTGCTTTCTTTGCTCCATCGTTCCTCTGTCACGGCATTTGCCCTTGTGTCAGTGGTCAGTTGTCTGTGTCATTGTTAGTTGCATGGAGCCGGCAACACTTTGAGGTCCTGGCTCCTGGGAAGTCTTAGCAGTTACTTGATGGAAGGATGAATGAGCAAATGAATGGAGACAGGAAATAATGTCTCACCTACAAGGGGTCCACACATTTGGAGTCATTTTTATACATCCCTGTGCTCTGAGAGGCTTTATATCCTCAGCCTCATTAACCCCTGACCTATGTCTCTTTGGCTCAGAGCACTTCTTATCAGCAAGTTTGAATGTTCTGTTTGTATCCTGGATCTTTGCCTGACTTTTTTCCCAGATCTCACCACTACATTGGCCTTGTGGAGGCTCCCAGAGACCTGCAGGTCTGGGGGAGCTGTGTTGCCCTTGTCCGGCGCAATAGGGGGTGGAGTAACCTCTTTCCTCATCTTCCTGGAAGCTCCTCAAGGCCTTGTCCTTCCTGAGTGCCATTGTGAGGTAGAGCTAGGCACGCCAGGCTGGGTCTTCCCCTGCCCAGAAGTGTGGCACTTGCCTCACCCTGTGGCACAACTGCAGCCAGCTTGTACTAAGACCTCACAGTTTGGAAGCACTTCTTATAGAAGTATCTCAGTTTCTCCTTTCTTTCTTGAAGTGTCAGGATTAGTGTTACCCCCTTATTTCAGATGGGCTTGGAAAGATTGGGTCAATTGCCACGGTCACACTGCAGATACTGATGGAGCCTCGACCTCCTTCTGCCGGAGCCCGTGGGTCTTCTGCTTGAGCAGGGAGTATAGCAGCTGCAGCCTGGCCACACTGAGCTCTGCACGGGCAGCTCTTGTGCAGACCTGGAGGGTGGACATTGAGGTCTTCTCCTGGATGCAGAGGGCCTTCCAGCCTCCGCTCTGCCAGCTCTGTGACTGCCACTCTGCATGTGGGGCTGAGAAGTGGCTTCAGGCAGGCAGATCGCGGGGTTTGCACACTTCCCTCACTCAGGAGCAAAATAGCCTGGCAAAGAATGTAAGCAATTTCTCTGCACGTTGGTTTTTTCCTTTGTAAACTAATGTTCAAGACTGTATACGCTTTCTAAGGTTGTTCTGAGGATGAAATGGTTCCTTGGGAGGCCCTGAGCCCAGGACCCAGCACAGAGCAGGCACAGGGTACGTGCCAGCTGCCTGACAGGATTCTGGCCTCGGGTTCACTGGGAGACCTACCGTGAAACCCTCACCTGTTCCTCTCTCTTGCTGGGTTTCGGTTTCTCTTCTGGGCAGGAGTTAGGGAAGCTGACTGGGACCTCTAAGGAGTGGCTTGGAAACTTCTCAGTCCAAAAGCTCAGGAGCTTCTAGAAGATATAAGAATTTTCAAAAAATGGAAGGGCTGTGAGTCCTTGGAAGGCTCACCTTTCTCCGTGAGCCGTTGCTCGATCTATAGAACATGAATGCTCTGATGGATAATTTGAGGTGCTTGTTCTGCTCACATATTTGGGCAGCTTTCCTCTTCTCTCACTTCTAGCTCAAGGCTGAAGAACCTGGAAGCAGCCCCTTCCCTTGGCAGAAGGGTCAGAGGGTACACAGGCCCGTGTTAACCTAGGATTTGTCAACCTGAAAGCTCTGGAGACTCTGGATGGGTATTGGCTGGAGATGGGCAGCTGCCACCCTCCCTGTGTCCACTTCTCTGTCAGCTTAGAGATGATGTTGGAGCCTCAGGCTAGGAAAGAGTCCAGGCGTAGCGCTTCTGCTAGTTTTATGACTGTTGGCAAATCATTTCACCTCTGAGGCTTACTTTCCTCATCTGTAAAATGGGGATAAGAACGCCTGCTCCCCAGAGCTGGTATACAGATCAGATGCGGTGATGGATGGAAAAGGGCTTGGCATATTCAGTAAATCTCCGTCAATACATGTTAGATCAAAAGAAGGATCAGGCCTGCAGAGGCCTCAGGGTACATTATTTGGGTTTAGTCCTTCCTGGCAGGCTTTTTCCTTGAGAGACTGGAAGATGTGTGGGCAAATATTCAAGTATTTGACTTTACTTCCAGCAAGGCCACCCAGCAAAGGGAATGCCAGGGTCTAAACCTACCAGGCCCCAGCACCTGCTTGGCCTCTGCCGTAGGAGAGATGTGTGCTGCCCAGCCCCTCCCCAGACATTGTGATGGACCCTCTGTGGTCCCACAGACGCATAGGAGACCAAGTGGCCTCATTTCTGTTCTTTCCTTCTGCAGGTATAGCCTTCACAGACCTCCCGGTAAGTACTATTGGTGGGTCTCCTCCCTCTGGGCTCTTGGGGGCTGACTGGGATGGAGCATGGTGGAACCTCAAGTGCAGAGTGTGGAGCCTGGCCCTTTCCCCAAACAGGGATGTATGCTGTGCTGTCAGCTTGAGAGTACCAGTAGGGGTATCTCCTGGCCTTCTTCTCTCTCCAGCAGCAAGGCCTGTTCTTCCTCCATGACTCTTAGCAGGTGACAGTGATTTGTGGCATTTCCAAAGGCAGCTGGGGGGATGGTTTGGGTGGAGATGAGGGTAGCTCCATGGCTCAGCTGGTCTGGGCCAGTTCTGTGTGGCTTACAGCCAGTGGACTGGTGTACATAGAGCATCGTTCTCAACTGTTAGGGAGCCTGGTCCTGGTGACTGCTCATCAGAGATTCCTAAGGAAGGCTGCTATCCTAGGGAACTAGGTTTGCTACCACACAGGGTATGCCCGAGCCAAAGAGGTGAGCTTTGTGGGGTTTTCTCTTCTTAGAAAAGGGTGAAGTTTCCTGTTGGCTTAGTTCACAGATCATCCCCATCTTCTGCACCCCAATCCTTCATTATTATGAGTCATCACAAATCTCGTCACATGCAAGGCCTCCACCCAGACTGCTGGGAGTCTGGCTGGGCTCTGTGCGCCCTGGCTGGGTTCTGGAAAGAGAAGAGGTTTGCTGACTCTGGTGATTGCCTTAGGATCTGGAGCACCCCTCTGATGCCCTGGGAAAGGCCCTTGTGATCTGAGTGGCCTTCTGAAGGCTAGACTACAGCACTCAGGATCCTGTTAGAGACTCTTAACTTTAGATCAGAATCCTTCTGTCCCACCTGGAAGGCCCAGAGAGGGGCTTTGGTCCTAGGCAAAGAGAAAGACAGGAGAATTCTGGTCTCAGCTAGGGAATGGTCTAGTTGTGGAGATGTGACGTGAGATAAGCAGACATGAATATAGCCAGTTGCCAAGTGCTGGGAAGTGTACGGCTGCTGTCAGGTGGGCAGTGTCACTGAGGGCGGTGACGGTCAGGGAAAGCTTGCTTGGGGCGGGTAGGCTTTGCCTATGGCATGGAGGTCTTAGGATTCAGAGCTTGTGGCAGGCTGAACCCAGCACGCAGTAAAGACATAGGCTATTCAGGAATGACACATGGCCTGAGGATGGAAGGTGGAAGAGAGGACTGGCGCCCAGTGACAGTGGGGAGGTGGCCAGCAAGACACTGTTTGGTAGCAGCAGGGAGCCACAGGAAACAGTGAGTGAGGGAGTGATCTGGCAAAAGTTGGCCATGACAGGGGATAGAGGGAAAGCAAGTAGCCCCACCACCCATGGAGGGACATGCCCACACCTCACTAGCCAGAAGATCCTCTTCTTAGTGTGCCTTTGACAGGAGGGACAGTGGTCTCTCTTTACCCTTTGCCAGGCTCTGGGGGTCCAAACCACCTACCCCCTTTGGCCAAGCTGTCTTCCTCCCCACCTTCCTTTTCTATCACCTCATCCCTTCCTGCCCTGTCATATATCCCCTTTTTTTGGTGGCAAAGGGGTCCTTGGTCCAAGATCCTTTGGAAAGGAGCCATTATCCACCCATGTAGCAGGTCTTCATGGGCATCCCTGTAGGGTTGTGGAGCTTGGTCTACCTCTGTGTGCCCTACCTGACCCCCACAGGGGGACCTTGGATTTTTGGGGAGCCCATAGCCTCTGATGCAGGCACTTTGAGCCTGGCTTGCTTTTCTTTTGCTTTCTGTCCTTAAGCTTTGGGGAATGGTGTCTCTGGTAAGGAGGTGGGCAGAATGTGACTCAGCCCTGCCTCCTTCAGCCTGCAATTCTTTCAAAAGCTGGAATAGTGGCCTGCAGGAGCCAGTGCCTTCCCTCTCTGCACCAGAGGTAAGGCAAGGCCCTGCTGCCCCACTGCCCTCAGGGCCCAACTGACATTTCATTCTCCTCTTCAGGCCAACCTCTACCCCACCGTAGGCCTGCAAACACCCGGGGAGATTGTGGACGCCAACTTTGGGCAGCAGCCCTTCCTGTTTGACATTGAGGACTACATGCGGGAGTGGCGTGCCAAGGTCCAAGGCACTGTGCATTGCTTCCCCATCAGTGCTCGGCTTGGCGAGTGGCAGGCAGTGCTGCAGAGGTGAGTTCCCCACTCCTGCCCTTTCCAGCCCTGGCCCATCACAGGGGCCTCACTCTCCCATAGGCCCCTGTACTGCTTCAAGCTGCTCTTATGAACTCCAGTGGGTAACCATTCTTTCTGGAAAGCACTCTTGGGGTAACTCTGCCTGCGGCTTTCCTTCTTTCCTCATACCAGATGAGCAGCTTCTGCTCAGTTCTCCAGATCTGTTCCTAATTAAGCCTTTGCCCCCTCACCTGGGTTGGAAGGCTCTGCATGTAGTTATCACCAGCAGAGCTGCTTTCCTTCTCCAGATCATTTTGCATAGGATGTACTAGGATGCCTCGTGGTCTCTTTCTTCGTCTGTGGACTTTTTTTGCACCATAGGGAGTATCCATCATGCTGTGACTCTGGCCTGAGGTCATCTCTCAGGTTCATCATCCATCTAAGTCCCAGGCATCCATGGCAGTGATGGCTGGAAGAGAATCCTCCTGAGGTCAGCCTATCTGGCTCTTGGATGATTAGTTTTCAGACCATCCTGGAAGCCAGGCTTGCTGAGAATCTGAAGGGAGGCGAGGTTTGGGTCTCTATTCTCGCCAGCTGCAGGCCTGAGTGAGACGATAACCAGGACCCACTCTGCCAGAGGTGGGCTAGCTTGTTAGCTTGACTCACAAGGGTGGGCAGACAAGGGCTGGGCTTCTACTAGTCCTGATTATTGGCCTGCAAAGGCACCCAGGTAGCAGGGTCCCTTGGGTGGGGTGGGGTTGCACACTGGGTTCTTTGTGCAGTCTTTCTTTCCTTAAGGATGGGTATGGAGGCAGCTATAGGCGGGGGTGAGGCGGGGATTATGTGGCCAGATCCTTAGAGCCACACTGTTTTGGTTTTAGCCCTCAGAGCTGTTGAGAAGCTCTTCCTTGGACAGCTGGCCAGTACAATGCCAGTCCCTGAAGCAGGCTTGCTGGGACAGGCAAGGGGAGAGGTGAAGCTGCCCCAGCCGTGTTGGGGAGGGAACGATACTCACAGCTTGCAGTGTGTTTGGACATGTGCGCGCGCCGGTGTGTGTTCGTGTGTGGTGTTTGCCAACACCTACACGCCTTGGTGGGGGGTTCGGGTTATTTCCTCTCTTTTGCTTGTGTGGGCAACCCTTTTGTAAGTAAAGTGCTTTTCATATTTAAGATTATTTTCTTGGCGTCCTTTCAAGAAGTGGGATTAATGGGTCAGTGGACCGTATATGTTAGTGGCGTCTGACGTGCGCGTGGACTCCTCTGAACCATGTTTTGTCCAAAATGTTTGCCCTTGTGTTCATAATAGTTATCTTTATTCATAGTATAATATAAATACATAATTTCATTATCAGAGGTTTATTTCATCGATAGTGCTAGGCACTTTCTATGTGTCATCTCACTTAACCCTTAAAACACGAGGAGATGCACAGCTGAACTTCTGTGCCTTTCACATTGGTGTTTGGCAGTTATAGTAATGGTGTCGGATACATGTTTACATCAAGGTACTCAGCTGTGGACATCAGATGTGAGGGCTTACCCTTCTGCTCTCCATGTGTGTGCATGCCACACACGTGCCACCGCTGAGCCAGCTGCCTGTGCAATTGAATGGTGACTGGGCATTGCGCTTCTCCAGGCCTTTCCCCAGAGGCTGTGCTCCTATTGGCCACTTAGTTGCCTATTTCTTGGCTTCTTGGGCCCCTGACTGGGTGTATTGTGGAGGGACTTGGGTCATGGGCTAACTCCCCATCAGCCTCTTGAGCCAGCACTCCTGAGGGCCAGGTTCGCCTGCTGAACTGGAATGCTTATGCTAGGCATGTGGGGCTGTCTACAGAGGAGCTGCTGTGTCTCTGGAAGGCACGCACACGGCACACATCGCCTGTCTGGGCAGCTCCTAGACCACTTGGCTCTGAGAGACTGTCAGCCATCTCTTGGCTTGCCACAGTTCACAAGAGGCAGCTGCTGCTGTAAGGAGACGGTACGTGCCTGTGCGTGTATTTTTGTTATCATACTCACCTGCTTGTGGACAGCATATTCCAAAGAAACTGCAGCCCCTCCTCCAAGCTGTGAGGACAGCTGTGGTACTAGCTCCTCCCCAGCCTGACTGCATGAGCCCTGGGGTCGGAGGGGTGGGTGTTTCATTTTGTTGCAGCCTCTTTATCCTCATTTTGTGAAGGTTGCACCTTCACATGTGTAAGGAAGCCCAGATAGGGAGATAGTTTGTTTCATCAGGTGATCAATGAGAAATGCAGTTCTAGAGTGTCACTGTGAGCATTTCATTTCTTCTAGCATGGTCTCATCTTACCTGGTGCATCATGGGTATTGTGCCACAGCCACGGCTTTTGCCCGAATGACTGAAACCCCGATTCAGGAAGAACAAGCATCCATAAAGAACAGACAAAGTAAGGTTGATTTTCCTCTCCCCTCTCCCTCCTTCCCTCACCTGTCCCTAACTCTGCTCTCTGGCTCATGCCAGCCTTGGGTAACCTGTCAGGAGTCCATTCAGCTCTGATCCTTACCACCAGGAGACCAGCCCAGCCCCAGGCTCTGCTTCTGTCCCTCCTTCACGACAACACTGCCCAGATGGACGGCCCGGCAGCATGGGAATGAATGCCTCCGTGCAGCTTCCCTACTGCACACTCTGATGGCCCGGCAGAGGCTGGGGCCTGGCATGGCTGGATCCCCCTCCTCCATGCTTGCTTGCTTCCCCTGAATCCTGGATCCTACTCAGCCTCGTGTTCATAGTCTTCTGGAAGAGTGTGTTTGCATCTTCTCAGACCAATGTCCTGCCTCTGCCATTTACTCAGCCTTAGTGGTTGTGCCAGCTCCCGGCCAGAGGAAGGACTGAGTAGTTAGACAGGGAGAAGGCTGGCCCTCTGTGGCTGCTGTGGTAGCACCTCTCTCTGCACCCCACTCTGGTCCTGCATTTTGCAGACAACCATGGGAAGGAGCCAAAGGAAACTTTGTTAATGTACATACTGGCCTATAGACTGTGTGTTTGGGGTTCTTTTGTGGAAGGAGGGTGTTGGGAAAGAGGAAACCGAGCCCAGAAAGGAGATAGGAAGAGGAGAGGCGAGTGAAGAATGGGCATCTGTGGATGTGTGTGTCTGTGTGTGCCTGCTTGCGTCTCTCTGAGCCTGTCGTCTCTGTGTATGTGCATGTGTCTGTGTCTCCCAGAGAAGCTACGCCCAGCCAGACAGACGGAAAGGGATCCCAGACTTGGGATCTACGAATGAGAGCCTCAGACCCAGAAGTCGCTCCCAGCAAGATGCACCAGGCCCCAGAACAAGAGCAAGATGCTGATGGCCTGAAAGGTGTCAACGTCAGAGATGCCATTATGAGGAGGATGGCCTTCTCTCCCAGCAGGGAGCACGCCGCAGCCCCTGAAGACTGCCAAGACTTGGGCCCTGGCCCAGAAACCATTGTGTTCCCATTGCCACCCAACTGTGAGGCCTAAAAAGAGAGAAGTCTGTCTGAAGAGGAGCCCCTGGGGCCACCAAGCTGCCTGGGTGCCTGGCCCCAGATCATGCTCCCCCGGCCAAAACCCCTCCCCGTGCCCAGGTCCCTGGCGACTGACCTCCGTAGGAGTAGGCCTCCACATCTGCTCTCCTGCCTCTGCACTGAGTCCTGCCTCTGTTTTCCCCTATTGTTCTTTGAAGACTCCCTGACACTTGGCAGAAACCAGGGTCTATTCTGGGGCTGGGGGTCAGGTTCTTTCTTTAGCTTCTCTGAGCATCTCAACGAGACATGCCACTCTGAGCCAGCCCGTGACCGTTGGCTAGTCCATGCTTGGGGCTGGTAGCGTGCAGGCATGTGGCTGTGAAGAAAGTCTGCAGCCCCTCACTCACTGCCATACTCTTGCTCTCTGCAGAGATCCAGAAGCTGGTGCTGGAGGGCCGTGTGGGTGAGGCCATTGAGACCACACAACGCTTCTATCCAGGACTGCTGGAGCATAACCCTAACCTGCTCTTCATGCTCAAGTAAGTTTTGGGCACCGCCCTCTCCCCCTAACCCAGTCCCTCTCAGCTGGTGGTGGGAACATATAGCCCAGACCAAGCCCAGAGCATCGCCGCTCTGCTCCCTCTGCAGGTGCCGACAATTTGTGGAGATGGTGAATGGGACCGACAGTGAGGTCCGCAGCTTGAGCTCCCGAAGCCCCAAGTCCCAGGACAGCTACCCTGGCTCCCCCAGCCTCAGCCCCCGACACGGCCCTAGTAGTTCCCACACGCACAACACAGGTCAGCCACTCTCCAGAGGGCTCGGGGAAGAACTGGTGTGGAGAAGAAAGGCCACCCACATGCCCTTCCCTGGGCTGGGCTCAGGGCTTGCTGCTGGATTTGGGGGAAGGGAAATGGGACCACTGTGGTCATTCCTCGGGCCCCTTTATGGCAAACCGCCCCTCCTCTTGTGACTATTCCCTGGTTTCCAGGAGCAGACAGTCCCAGCTGCAGCAATGGCGTCGCATCCACGAAAAGCAAACAGAACCACAGTAAATACCCTGCACCCAGCTCCTCCTCCTCCTCCTCGTCCTCCTCGTCCTCCTCATCCCCATCCTCTGTCAATTACTCCGAGTCCAACTCAACGGATTCCACCAAGTCCCAGCCTCACAGCAGCACCAGTAACCAGGAGACCAGGTGCCTGTCCTACTCTCCTTCTTCTTTCTCCTTTCTACTCTGTACCAGCTGGGCTCACTGCAGCCTGTTCGAGTGCTACCCCTGCCCTTAACTGCCCACCTCCATCCCAGGTCTGTGCCTGGAGTGGTTGCTGCTGACCTGCCAGGCCAGGCATTGGCTCCAGCTTCTGGCCCTGCCTGTGATCCAGCTGTCATTTTGCTCAGCCCTGACTTTCTCAAGAAGCGCTGCTCCTGCGGGGCCTGGCAGAACCCCGACTGGGTATGGCCCGCAGACAGACAGATGGAGCAGCAGAGATTTTAGGCTGTAGACTACCTGTGACTTTCGGCTGCCCCCAGGCATACCTCAGGGTTGGACCTGAGTCTGGTGCCTAGAGATACTTCTCAGGGGTCTCTGGTCCCTGGGGCTGGAAGAGGAATGGGTGGAAGGGGTGTGTCAACTCATACAAAGGCCAAGGAGGGGAGAGCCACCGAGGCAGCACTGGGACAAGAGTTAGAATCAGGTAACAGGCCTCTGCGGATAGCTGATGTCAGAGTAGGGGCCAGGTTTTGGAGCCTGGTTTACCCACAGCGACCTGTGGCAAGCCTGAATGGAGGCCCAGCCAGGCTGCTCCCAACCATATCCGCCTGGCCAGCTCCTACCTGCACCCTTCTCCACAGTGACAGTGAGATGGAGATGGAAGCAGAGCATTACCCCAATGGTGTGCTGGAGAGTGTAGCCACGCGCATCGTCAACGGCGCCTACAAGCATGAGGACCTACAGACAGATGAGTCCAGCATGGGTGAGAACCATGGCCTGGTATGGTGTTGCAGGGGTGGTAGTGGCTCAGCCTGGATGACTTCTGCCCCCTGGGAGCGGGTTGGCATGGGCAGGCTCTGTCAGCCTGAGAAGCTCTGAGTGGACCTGATCCACTGGCACTGTAGTCAGGAACGCGTGCTTGGAGTGGGAGGGCCCGTGGCCTGATGCCAAGACCAGGGCTGCTGCGTCTGAGGCTGGAGCGACTTGGTGAGAGTGGGCATTCTCTTGAGCACTCTAGCGGGTGGGAAGAGGGAAAGTCGAATCCAGACTCCTAGGTCATGTGCTAGGTGGACTAAAAGCCCCTCAGCTACGGATGGTCCACCTAACTTGGCCCCAAGGTCCCTCTTGCTGTCTCCTTTTTGGGGTCCCCTCCCCAGTCCTCCCCTGTCTCCTTACCCCTCACGATTTGTTCTCTGCTGGGCTCTGGGCGCAGATGATGGGCATCCTCGGCGGCAGCTCTGTGGGGGCAACCAGGCTGCCACAGAAAGGATTATCCTGTTTGGTCGCGAGTTGCAGGCACTGAGTGAGCAGCTGGGCCGGGAGTACGGCAAGAATTTGGCCCACACAGAGATGCTACAGGTATAGAACAAGCCAGGCGCTCATGCAGAGCGGCTTCCCACGTGGGGGTGGGGACAGGTCGACTCTGGGAGGGCCTTGGGTGTAGCAGCAACAGGACAGAGTGGGCTCTCGTCAAGTCCACGATGGGAAACAGGACTTCCAGGATATATGCAGCCCTCTCTAGGCTCTGGGGAGGGCACGGTGCTTCCTGACCCTATGCTCAGGGTGTGCAGTGCCCTCACTGGGCACCATGCCGGGCTCTGTATGCCCCCTGGAGCCATGGAGATATGTATGTGTGTGGTATGTGCCAGACTCTTCTCAAGAATGCCCTATCCCTTAGGATGCCTTTAGCCTGCTGGCATACTCAGACCCCTGGAGCTGCCCAGTTGGCCAGCAGCTTGACCCCATCCAGAGGGAGCCTGTGTGTGCTGCCCTCAACAGCGCCATTTTAGGTAAGTAGATAAAACAAAAACAGAAGCTCGTCCGTGAGTGCCTGGGCTAGACTACCTCCCCTCTCTCCCTAGGAACTGCTGATGTTTGTCCAAATCAGGGTAGTGAGCTCTGCCTGGGCACTCTCTGGTAGCCCATAGCACTTGGGCTTCCATGGCTGAACCTAAATCCTGGCCTCCCTCTGCCCAGCTGAGTTGGCTGGCTAGATCATGATAGACCCTGGCCGATGACTGTGGGGCTGGCCAGCTCATGGCTCTGAAGAGAGCTAAGGTCCTCAGGTTCCTGGCATGGCTGCGGGGTCATAGACTGATGCTTGGGACAAACTCAGAGACACATGAACACTGTTCCCAGAGATTCTGTCCACTGCCCCTACTTTCTGCTCTCAAGGGAACTTTGATCTAGGCCAACTCCTGGGCAAAGCAGTGACCAGGCCTTGTCTCTCCTCCACAGAGTCTCAGAACCTGCCAAAGCAGCCCCCTCTGATGCTCGCCCTGGGTCAGGCATCTGAATGTCTACGGCTCATGGCCCGAGCGGGCCTGGGATCTTGCTCCTTTGCCAGAGTCGACGACTACTTGCACTAGCTGACCACGCTGGCTGGCCCCACCTGGCCCTTCTCAGCCCCTCTCTAGCCAGAGCTAGAGCAGCCCTGCCCTCCATAGGCATCTGGCGCAGGGACCTAGAAGCCATGGGCAGAGTCCATTCCTCCTGCCTGGCCTTCCCCATTCCCTTTCCTGTCTTCCTTTTCTTTCTTCCTTTTCCTTCCTTTTCCCTTTCCTTCCTTGCCATCCCTCCCTCTCCGTCTTCCTTCCTTCTTTCTTCCTTCCTTCCTTTTTCCTTTCCTTCCTCCCCCTACCCCTGCCCTCAGTCTTTCTCTCCCCTTCATGTGCAGCGGCCTCTGACACAGTATTGGCTGGTTACTCTCATGTAGCGCCTTCTACTTTGAAAGGGGGGTTTTGTTTTGAGGAGGGTTTGGGTTTTTTAATCTTTTTTTTTTTCCTCCTGACTGAGCCACCAGTATTTATCTCTGGAGAGCTTGTGCTGAGCTGGTTTCTGCTAATTTAGTGATGAAGCCTATCCGAGTTGGTGATAGCTTATTATTTTCATAAGTAAAAAAAAATGAGATTATATATATAAATATATATATTAAAAAAGACACAGTATTTATCGTAGTGTTAGTGGTCCAGCACCTCTTGGGTGAGGCTGTCCAGACACCATAAGTTTTTATTTGAGTCCAACTCATTAAAAAAGAATCATCTCTGTCACCTCAGCCAAGTAATAAGTTTATTTCAGGCTTCCCCTTTGTTGAGCCACAGGCCCAGCTGCAGCCCAGGGAAGCCCAGTAGGCACTGGGAGCCAGTTAGTGGGCAGGTCAGGCTAAATTGGTTAGCAGCTGAGAGGTGTGGGTCCCTAGGCCCCTGAGAGCTGGGCTGAGCGGAGAACTACAGGGCTGAGGCTTCAGAGAGGGGATGAGTTGGCCCAGGGCTATTCAGCAAAGCAAGGGAGTAGGGAGTCCTTGGCCAGCACATTATCTACCATTCTACCCTGCCTCTCACTGCCTGCCTCGCCCCTTTCTTTCTCTCCCTTTCAGCGTCCTATTTTCCCTTGTCGTTAAGATGGCCAAATAATTCATTTACTCTAAATTGATTGCCTGGAAACTACCTGCCTTTGACCCAAGAGCTGCTGTGTGTCAGGCTGCGGGGAGGATGTGTGTCCATTCCAGGACAGAAGTCCTTGAGTACAGGGGCTGCCTTCTTTCTGCCTGGATCTTCACCGTCTCTGCACAGCTCTCATGGAATCAGTACTTTCTCTTGAGAAGCTAGGACTTTGTGGAGGCAGATTCTTGGGCTGCCCGTTGCTGGAGGGGATGGAACTCTTGACCTAGTAGGTCAGGCTTCACTGCAGCTGTGCCAGGCAGCTCCCTGCAGCTTGGCCCCAGCCACTCTTAGAAAAGACTATTATGAGTATTTGCTGGCCAGAGGAAGGGACCTCATGGGCTCTGCAGGTGTCCCACCAACTGTTTCAGATGGATCCTCACAGCTGGTGGGGCAAAAACAGTCCTGGTACTGCCATCAGGGAATCAGGAGAGGAAGGGCTGAGTTGACTGCTAGGACTTGGGCAGGCCATCCGTGGAGAGGACTGACCGCCCAGGAGGAAGAAGGGAGGAGGCCTACTCAGAGGAGCACCAGGAGGGGTCGGGATTTCCCTACCTGCTTCAGTGAGAGGGAGCACACAGTCAGTCCTTGCAAAGAGGCAAGGCCAGAAATCGAACTTCTAGTCCATGCCTGGGCAGGGGCTGGGTAAGCTCCTGCTCTTTGGCAGTAGACACAGGGATGGTGGTACGGCCTGAGATATTCATTGCCTGACTCACAGCTGGACAGGAAAAGTGATTGAGTTGGACCAACTGCTGGTGATGGGGTTGGAGCCCTCTCCCTGTGCTCTCCCAGAGTTCTGCCTTGGGACATGATCCTACGAACTGCTGCTTTTTCTTGGTCCCCACCAGGGCTCCAGCTGGCACCCCAGACCGTGGCCTGTTGGGGAGGTGTTGTCATGTCTGTAAAGGAAACTCATCCTGTGCAAGGCTGAGGATGTCTAGCTCCCAAACCCAGAGGTTGGAAACATCAAGCTCCTAAAATGGCCAGAGCTGAGCAGGATTGGGAATTTAAACCAGAGGCTTTTGCAACTGGAATGGGGTTCAGAGAACATCTACTCCACCAGTCCTCTCCTTCTACAGATACGGAAACAGGCCCAGAAGATTAAATGACTTAGCCAAAGTCACACAGCAAATTAGTGGCAGAGCTTGGACTAACTCATCCCTGGGGGTTGTGCAACACTGTTTTAGTCCTGAAGCTAAATGGCAGGTGAGGGCTTAGGCTGGTGAGGCCCCCAGCAGTGTCTGAGCAGCTGGTACCTTCAGGGGTGTGTCAGGGATGGGGACGGGTGCATGGGCTTGAGTTGTGGAGCGTCTGAGAGAGGGCCCAAGAGGGCCTGGGACAGCTGTGTGCTGCTTGGGGTTGGGTGTCCTCCTGGCTCACTCTCAGTACCCATGGCCACCTCCCCATTTTCTGTGCCTTATCTCACTGTTTCAGCTGAGTCCAAGTTGTTTACTCTGTTCCTCTCCAGAGGGGCTCTCTGTCCCAGTTGGACAGCTTGCCTTTGGGACATAAGCCTTTGCCCCACAAGCCGTGGAGAGGACCAAAACCAAGCTGCTTGAGTCCACTATCTTGCTGATAGTTCAGGGCTGCCTGCCAGCCAGAGGAGCCCCTTATGCACACCCAGTCCTACCAGCCTGCTTTCGGGAGCCAACAGTGGGGAAGGCACCTGGGAGGAGCCCCACTGAAGGGCTGGACCTGACTTAAGGGGACAGGAAGAAGACCTGGCTCTCTTGGGTTGTCCAGCCCTGGGGGAGCAGCCTTCCCTATTTACCTTTCCCCCTTGTGCCACCAAATGGTCACTCCTTCCAGAGTGGACCCTGTCAGACCCTGCAAAGAAAGCCAGAACCTCTGATCCTTACCCACATGAATCTGTGGCTGGGGGTAGGCCGCCAGAACAGGGACACCAAGAGATGGTGAAGGGGGGACTGCCCAGCCCACCCAGCGCCTTCCTACCCCTTAAGCAAGCACAAAGAAGATGAGGCAGAGAACTGTCAGAGCTGAAAGTTCCTTTGGTTGCTCACAACTCAGGTATGCATGCCATGTGGCAGCCAGGCAGCAGAGCCCTACTTGACCACCGGTCCCGTGCACCAGACCTGTGGCCAGTTCATGGACTCTGGATGCCTCAGGTGCCGCCTCTTTGCATAGGGTTTTCCTCCATTAGTAACTACAGCTGAAACAGATGTCCTCCACATTGTGCACACTGGTTCTGCCTTTGTCCTTGCAAGTTGATACTTGGCATTAGCATGAAACTTGTGGGCGTGGGAGGGTTTAGAGAGAATTCTAACACAAAACATCCTATCAAATTGTACTTGAGAGATGAAAAAACTCCTGTTGTATTTTGACAGAATTATTTTTATTAAAATACACATCCATGAGTAGTCATGAGTGTCTGGTGTCTGCTTTGAGTCTCACTGGGGTTGGCACCCCTTGTGTGGCTCGCTCTGTCCTGGGGGTCTGGCCCTTACTCAGCCCACCTCTCAAGTTCCCAGGCCCCTGGTACCCCTCAGGGACCCTCAAGACTTCAGGTGTTTGTGAGACCCGAAAGAAGACAGGCGCTTGGGCTTCAGTTCTCTCCCCGCAAACAGCTTCCTTCTGAGACAAAGAAAAAGGAGAAAATTCACTTTCAAAAAGGTGGCCACAAGTTCTTCTGTCCTCCAAATAAGATTTTTTTTTTTTTAAAGATTTTATTTATTTGACAGCGAAAGAGGGAACACAAGCAGTGGAAGTGAGAGAGGAAGAAGACAGTCCGATGTGGGGCTTGATCCGAGGACCCTGGGATCACTCACCTGAGCCGAAGGCAGATGCTTAACAACTGAGCCACCCAGGCGCCCCTCAGAATAAGATTTTAATGTAGTCCAAACACACACGTCCCAAACACTGGACAGTCAGAGGGCTTCTGAGGCTTATTGAAGTTAGCTTCCTGTCAGTCTGAAGAGAAAGTACTCGTGCTCAAAATCCTGGTTCTGCTGTTTACCAACTGGGTAACTGGAAAATTAACTTTTCTCAGCTTCAGTTTCCCCACCCTTAAAACGTGATTTGGGTAAGAAAAGAATAAATGAAACAAGATGGGATTGGGAGGGAGACAAACCATAAGACACTCTTAATCTCACAAACAAACCGAGGGTTGCCGGAGGGGGGTGTGGGTGGGGAGGGAGAGGGTGGTGGGGTTATAGACATTGGGGAAGGTATGTGCTATGAAGTGTGTAAACCTGGCGATTCACAGACCTGTACCCCTGGGGCTAATAATACATGTTAATAAAAAAATAAAAAAAAATTTTAAAAAGTGACTAATTCTACCCCATGGAGACATAATTATAGCACATGTAGGGGAGGCTTGACATAGAGGGATATATAGTACATGTGTGCTTCACTTGGTTATTTTATAGGACTATTACTCGACAGGACTCTCTTAGGGAACACTGAAGAGGGAAGAATGGAATGTTAGATTAAGCAAAAAGTCCTGGTTCCATAAATAAAGCCAGAGTACCTTTAATTTCTCTCTAGACTAGTGGTTTCTACAGGGAGTGATTTTGCCCCCCCCCCACCCTGGGAACATTTGGCAGTGACTAAAGATATTTTTGGTAGGCCAGGGATGCTATAAACATCCTACAATGCATAGACAGCACCCCACAACAAAGAATTATCAGGCTCAGACTGTCAACAGTGCCCCTGTTGAAAAACCCTGTTCCAGAATGAATCTTGAGATGGTAACAAACATCAAACACAAGCGCATTTTGAGTCTGCATGGCTGTTCAGAATCCAGGGGGAAAGATTAAGGGGATTAAAACCTCATAAGAGGGAGATTAGAGGTTACCATCTCTCATCACTCTTGGGAGACTTCCATGCTCCGAAGGTGGCAGCAGTGGCAGGAAGTCCTGTCTCCTTCCAAACCAAGGATAGCATTGCTGGCCACCAGTTCTCAGCAAGAACAATTGCCTCAGCTCAACTGACATGTTGAGCTGTGACATGTCATCACAAGCTGCTCTGGAATGATGGCTGGCACACCATTCTAATACTAGCTGAGTGGGGGTCCAGACTCTCACCAGGAGTCAGAATAGCAGAGGAGAGGCTCCCCCTGACGAAATAACCCCTAAACCTACATCTCCTACGTAGCCTACTTTACATAGCTAAGGATTATAGGTGACAGGTTTCATTACTCTGGCAGACAGAGTAATGGTGAAGTAAAGAGCAGTCTTGTTACAAAATGGTATTTACTTGGGGAGACACAGACTCCAGTAAAGAGATCTGAGAGACTGAGGTCACAGTAGGTGCACTAACATTTAAGGAACAACCAAAGAACATGCAGAGGAAGAAAAGCCCAGACAGGCACCAGAGAACAGAAGAGAGTCATTATTGTAGGAGTCAGGCGGCCAAGAAGTCCGGCGAGTTCAAGAGGACTACCGTTCTACAACAACAGTTCGTTGGGTCCAACACCAGACCCTCCTTAACTCCAGACCAAGGCCCACTACAGTTCCCAGAACCTCCTTATTACTGATGCGGGATGGAAGGGCCCTAAAGAAGCAGAGGCTGTTGTACATTTGACCAGCCGCCTCCACCGCCGGAAATAAAGGACTAACCCCTCGGCTAACCCACTTAATCTCCGCCCCCAATGTGCGAGCATGCGCAATCTCCGATCACGGCCCCTCCCAGGCAGGTCCATCCCCGACAGGGAGCATGCGCAGACCTCCAGCCGTCCCGCCCCTCCCTTTCCAGAGCTCCCGGTTCCTTAGAAACCAGGCGGCGCGTACCCGGTGCCTGTGCGTTGGACTACGGGGCCCGCGCGTCCCCGCCAGCCTCCCTCTTGGCGGGCGGGTGGTGGGGGAGGCCGGTCTAGACCCATGGTCTCCAGTGCAGCGCGGGACGGGCGATGCCAGCATGCCAGGTGAGAGGCAGGCCCGCGGCGGCGGGTGAGGATGGAGGGCATGGCGCGGCAGCCAGCGGGCGTTGACCGGGCCTCCTCCGCGGCCCGGCGCCCGAGGTCGGAGGCGGGGCTGCTTAGAGCCTGGGCTGGAGGGGTCCGTTCTAAATGCCAGCGCGGTCGCCGAGTTGGGGGGTCGCCCCGGAGTTCGTCCTCCCAGCCTCAGAAATAGGACCTATAGATTTGGTCGTGTAATTGTAGAATTTTGGCTCCTGGAAGGACCTCGGCCATAACTCATCCCTTTACGGGACGCGGGAACCTAGGCTCCCCTGTCCTGCCCCGAGCAGACCCTACCTGTGTGGACTGACGCTTTGTGGACAAGGATGGGAGGTGTGGAAGCTTCAGACAAAGGGCGCTGGTCCATCGTCTTTCAGAGGGAGATGGGACTTTTAGAGGATAAATCTTTATTTAAGGAAAGAGGGTTCAGGTGATAGATAGGAGAAGGGACACTCCAGAAAGTGCTGGTGGCTCTGCCAGTCACCGAATGCCCACAGGCCACGTCTCAATGGCCCTGGCCTAGCTTCGAAGCTCAGGAAGGAAGCCGAAGGACTAGCGGAGACAAAAGGTGAGGTAAGGTGTTCCCATCAAGACGTTATCACATGAATGGGGAGGAAGGAAATGGGGGCGGATCAGGACTTGTGAATGGTTGTGAGAAGAGTTTACCTCCCAAACTGCAGCAGAATCTGAAGAATGGGAGAAGAATGGAAAAGTTTAAAGCGGCGGCGTTGGCTAGACAGCAAGAAAGGATATATATATATAAACCATCTTATAGAAGAAAGTGGGTGTCCTTTTGAGTATCCAGAACCGAGTTGGGGCACCGCCTGGAAGACCTTTGTAAACTCTGGGGCACAGTCTCAGAAGGTGTATGACCCTTCACTTAAAGGTTAGAGCTGTTTAAATTAGAAAGAACACTTAAGACATGTTACTGAGGGGCACCTGGGTGGCTCAGTGGGTTGAGCCGCTGCCTTCGGCTCAGGTCATGATCTCAGGGTCCTGGGATCGAGCCCCGCATCGGGCTCTCTGCTCCGCGGGGAGCCTGCTTCCTCCTCTCTGCCTGCCTCTCTGCCTGCTTGTAATCTCTCTCTGTCAAATAAATAAATAAAGAATCTCTTGAGTTCTTTAAAAAAAAAAAAAAAAAGACATGTTACTGAGATATGGAGAAGATGGTTGTCTTTAAGTGTTGGGGAAGCTAAATTGATTCTTCATAAGGAAACTCCTCTTCTTCTGAAAAGCTATGTACACCCAGGGAACAAAAGAGTTTCAATTAAGGCCATCCATTTTACAGAAAAATGTGGAGAAGTACTGGTTTTGGACTAGGAATTTAAAGACTGGACTAAGAGGTGAAAATTTTCAGCAGACAGTTCTGTTGGTGGGCTCCCCATTTTACGGATAAAAATTTTGTTGTCAGGTTTTCTCTTACCACCTGGTTGCTCTACTTTTCCTATGGAATGATCGATCTGGGTCTGATCAGTTATTTTTATTTGCTAGGAAAATTGCTGTAGTATTACTAGGATCCGCTAGTAGCAGGATTAGGAATGACAGCCCCCCCCCCCCCCGGCCAAAAAAAAGACAAAGATTTGTAATATGGTAAAAAAAAAAGTGTATAATTTTGGGGCATCTGGGTGGCTCAGTGGGTTAAGCCTCTGCCTTCGGCTCAGGTCATGATCTCAGGGTCCTGGGATCGAGCCCCGCATCGGGCTCTCTGCTCGGCAGTGAGCCTGCTTCCCCCTCTCTCTGCCTGCCTCTCTGCCTACTTGTGCGCTCTCTCTCTCTCTGTGTGTCAAATAAGTAAATAAATAAATAAATCTTTAAAAAAAAAGTGTATAATTTTTAAAAAGATGGTCCCTGATTCTAATCAATAAAATCAATTTCTTACTAGCTTGATAAAACTAATTTCTTTCCTTCCTCTTTCCTTCTTCCTCCCTCCCTCTTTCTTTTCTTTTCTTTTCTTTTCTTTTCTTTTCCTTTTCCCTTTCTTTCTTTCTTTCTTTATTTCTTTCTTTCTTTCTTTCTTTCTTTCTTGTCTTTCTTGATAAAACTAATTTTCAGGGACGCCTGGGTGGCTCAGTGGGTTAAGCAGCTGCCTTTTGCTCAGGTCATGATCCCAGGGCCCTAGGATTGAGTCCTATTTCTGGCCCCTTGCTCAGCAGGGAGCCTGCTTCTCCCTTGCCTCTGCCTGCCATTCTGCCTGCTTGTGCTCTCTCTCTCTCTCTCACAAATACATTTAAAAAACAACAACAACAACTAATTTTCAATGTATATTTGATTTTGCAGCAGGTTTTCTTTCCCCCTCAGAATGATAAGATACCTTTAAAGAATGGTGATGTTAGGGACACATGGGTGGCCCAGTTGGTTAAGCATCTGCTGTCAGCTCAGGTCATGATTCAGAGTCCCTGCTCCCTTTGCCCCTCGTCCTGCTCCAGCTCTCTCTCTCTCTCTAAGTAAATAAATAAGAAATCTTTATTTATTTTTATTTTTTTAAGAGATGTTCTTCACTTTCTTTTCTTTTTTTTTTAAGATTTTATTTATTTATTTGACCGAGAGAGATCACGAGTAGGCAGAGAAGCAGGCAGGGCGGCGGGTCGCAGGCTCCCTGCTGAACAGAGAGAGCCCGATGCGGGCCTCAATCCAAGGACCCTGAGACCGTGACCTGAGCCACCCAGGCACCCAAATAAAAAATCTTTTTTAAAAAAATGAAAAAATGGGGCGCCTGGGTGGCTCAGTGGGTTAAAGCCTCTGCCTTCAGCTCTGGTCATGATCCCAGGGTCCTGGGATCAAGCCCCACATCGGGCTCTCTCCTCAGCGGGGAGTCTGCTTCCTCCTCTCTCTCCCTCTCTCTCTGCCTGCCTCTCTGCCTACTTGTGATCTCTGTCAAATAAATAAATAAAATCTTAAAAGAAAAACAACAAAAAAGAAAAAGTATGGTGATAATAATAGGTCAGATTAATTTGAGTAACAGAATTTTGTCTGAGGTTCATAATCAATGCCATACCATATCTATGATGTGGCTGTGCATTTTATTGGTTTTTCTTTAATCTGCAGAAATATTTTGTATAAATACCTTAAGAGATATAATGGAGTATTATCAGAAGGGTTTGTAATCTATGGGGGAAATTGGCACTGTTAATCAAATCCTGTCAGAAAGCTTTATGAAGATCATTGAATTCTTTATAGAAACCCTCATTACCTTAGTGCTGGCCCAGATAGAAGACAGACTAGTAGGCCAAAATCAAGGTAAGATGGAAGGGAGCAATTACTGTCTTTGGACCTGGGAGGCTGCTTTGAATGTAAGTGAAAATACTTTCTTGAATGAGCAGTTGAAGGAGATACTGCATGAATGTGAAGAGTGTGCTCCATTGATGGGTGTGCAATTTTTGAGCTCCTATAATCAGAAAGACATTTGCTTTCAAAAGAGAAAGCTGGGGGCGCCTGGGTGGCTCAGTGGGTTAAAGCCTCTGCCTTCAGTTCAGGTCATGATCCCAGTGTCCTGGGATCGAGCCCCACATTGGACACTCTGCTCAGCGGGGAGCCTGCTTCCCTCTCTCTCTCTCTGCCTGCCTCTCTGCCTACTTGTGATCTGTCTGTCAAATAAATAAATAAAATCTTAAAAAAGAGAGAGAGAGAGAGAAAGCTGGACTCACAGACTCTAGAAGTGTTTCTTTGTCGCTATAGCAATGAAACTTTTCACCAATAATTACTTAATATCCACTCCATTTTCTAGGGCAGCTGAAGGCAGTTATCAAATCTGACCTGTAATAAAGTAATCAACAGTATTTAACAGGCCAACATACCAGATAAACCAGTAATGCTAACAGGATCTACTTTCACTGAACTGATTTTCTAGTTACATGGTAAGAGGAGAATGAGCTGGAGATGCAGTGCCAGCTGACATAAGTTGTAACACAAATGTTGGTGTTCAGAAAACTTAAGAATCAGTCAGAGCCCACTGGGAAGTAGGAGAGGAGCCTTTCTGATGTCTGACAAGTCACTCACACATATTTATTTTAGGAGGTCCAATTCCAGGATCAATTCATTGTTGGAACTGGACAGCATCTAGGAAAAAAATTAAGATTTTATTAGTTTTAGTTTTGAGAATTCATATACAGTATTGTAAGGGGACATTATTTTTCTTAAAAGGTAGCAGCTTTAGGTTCCAAGAGAGTCCAATTATCCAAATTACTTGAAAAATTTAAATGCCAGGTGTTTTAACAAGTGGGGATTGAAAGATACTTGACATAGACTTAGGCTCCTGAAAGTCAGAATCGGAGGAGATACTGAGAAAAAAATGAAAGCAGTAAGACTTCCTCCACTAACACTTACTGTGAATTAGCCATTAGGTCAGGAATGAGCTCACTGAAGTATTATCTCTTTAAACTGAGAGAAAAGAAATGAGAAATGAAGTAAATATTTCTATCTCACAGTGATGGGAATAAACACCCAGACAATAGAGATTAACCGTTAAGAAGGAAAAGGTGAATATTCCTGCATTACTTGAATACACGCAAACTCTGTTGTTAAGCACTTGTTCTCTTAGAAGGAAAGAGTTGAAAGTAAGAGAGTTACCTTTGTCCTAGATACTGGCAGTTCTCAGAGTAGCCAGTGACACAATGCCACACTTTTTGGGACCCAGGATAGACAGAAATTGCTCTCCTCCCCCCACCACCCTCCCACTCCTGCCACCTCTCATGGTTATTTGATAAGGGTTTCTATCCTATCCACTGTCTACCAGGAAGTATCAGGAATGAAACCTGCTACGAATGGACCTGAGTATCTAAATGCCGTCCGCCTTTCTGGCAGAGGGTAACGGTGCTGCTCTCAAACTGTCAACTCTTAGTTTTTCATGAGAGCAGATAACCCCAAAATAGAACCGGAAACACTTCTACTTGGCTTTGAGATTTACCATATCGCTTTACAACCTCAAAATCTTTTATTATTTACTTTCACAATTATATTTTGCTTAGAAT